TATATATATATATATATATACAGTGCCTTGCAAAAGTATTCGGCCCCCTTGAACTTTTCAACCTTTTGCCACATTTCAGGCTTCAAACATTAAGATATAAAATTTTAATTTTTTGTGAAGAATCAACAACAAGTGGGACACAATCATGAAGTGGAATAAAATTTATTGGATGTGTCAAACTTTTTTAGCAAATAAAAAATTGAAAAGTGGGGCGTGCAATATTATTCGACCCCCTTGCATTAATACTTTGTAGCGCCTTTTGTTGCAGTTCCAGCTGCAAGTCTCTTGGGGTTTGTCTCTATCAGGTTTGCACATAGAGACTGAAATTCTTGCCCATTCTTTCTGCAAAACAGCTCGAGCTCAGTGAGGTTGGATGGAGAGCGTTTGTGAACAGTCTTCAGCTCTTTCCACAGATTCTCGATTGGATTCAGGTCTGGACTTTGACTCGTCCATTCCAACACCTGGATACGTTTATTTGTGAACCATTCCATTGTAGATTTGGTTTTATGCTTTGGATCATTGTCTTGTTGGAAGATAATGTATGAATTTCGTCCCTGCTGACGAAAAGCAGGCCCAAACCATGATGCTGCCACCACCATGTTTGACAGTGGGGATGTAATAATAAAATAATAATTTAACACTATTTATCTGAGGAGCAGACTGCTTTGAGTTTAACTCCATCACATAACTCTCGTCTTGAGCAAGCATGAAGGCGACAGTGGAAAGGAAAAACTCTCTCATGAGGAAGAATCGTTTAGCAGAACCAGGCTCAGGACAAGAGGCCATCTTCTTCGACTGACTGGGTTTGAGAGGAACAGATACACAATGGCAGGTCAAGAATTACATGTTAAAATGGAAATAATTTCAAATGGAAACTGTTCAATTTTAAGAATTCATTTTAAGAAATTAGGTGAATTTGTCCTCTAGTAGTCTAAGCCTATGGCAGCCAACAAGCCAACCCTAACTATAGGATTAATCAAAAAGGAAAGTTTTGAGCCCAGTCTTAAAACTGGACAATGTGTCAGCCTCACAGACAGAAACCGGAAGTTGGTTCCACAAGAGAGGAGCCTGATAACTGAAAGATCTTCCTCCCATTCTGCTTTTGGAAACTCTAGGAACCGCGAGTAAACCTGCAGTCTGAGAGCCAAATGCTCCGTTAGGAAAATATGGAACAATAAGATCTCAAATATAAGATGGAGCTAGGTTGTTGAGAGCTTTGTAGGCTAAAATATTTTGAATTCTGGACTTTACAGGGAGCCACTGCAGAGAAGCTAAAACTGGAGAGATATGATCTCTCCCACTAACTCCAGTTAAGACTCTGGCAGCAGCATTTTGGATCAACTGAAGACTTTTTAAAGACGTATTTGGACACCCAGATAACAAACCATTGCAATAATCCAGTCTAGACCACTGAAACAGAGCATTGTCATTTCTCATTCAGCAAGATTCTCCTCACTAGTTCACATCCTTGACATCTATTTGAAACTCCCAAGTCCTTTAAAGCAGTAAAGTAGCAGAATGGCCAACATTTTCTCTTTGGATTAGAGCAGAGGAGTCTAATCCTGGTCCTCGAGAGCCATTTGTTTCCCTGCTCAAACGCGTCTGTTAATCACCCATTGATCCAAATCAGGTGTGTTGGAGCATGTGGCCCTGGATGACCAGAACTGGACACCACCCTGAGCATCTGTATACATCTCTGCGTGTTTACAAGTTCATGGGAGGCAGAGGCGCCTACAACACAACAGCTGGGTGCATCATGCAGTTAGAAACGGAAGTACTTGAACCTGCAGTGATCATGCAGGCCCTGGATGTCTGCTTCAGTGTGGAGTCCCTGAACGCATCTGCATTGTGTGGCCTGTTTGGTCTGATGGATCAACTGGACTGGGAGGAAGCTTAGACAGGAGGGGCAGCCACGAGTGGCTAAAAATGGCTATTTTTACGAGTAAATAGAAGAGATAAATATATTCTGAAGCACAGCCCGCCCCTTCAATGCCACTATTCTCTCGCTCAGGTCGGAAAGCCCGTTTTTTTTACGATCTTTTACGAGCTCCATCAATCATTCAGTGCACTTGCTGCTTCGGGAAGCCTCACCCCACCCATCTCTCCGGGAGCTGCCGATGGAAGCTAACGGGAATCCCATTCACGAGTCCCCAAACCCGGCCGGACTCAAAGGTGCACATAACGGGAGGGAGATGCAAAGAGCAGGAGGGAGGAAAACACGAGTCCAGTCTCCAGCCATCATCAGTAAGCCTGCTCACATCCACACAGCTCCTCCGTTCAGCCTCTCTCTCTCTCTGCATCCATTTTTTTCACCTACCTGAAAATCGCATGTCCGTCCGGCGACAAACAGGCGGGCGGTGTCGCGGTCTGCGACGGCTCCTAGCTGCTTCCTGACTTTAAAAAAATATTTGATTTAATATTTCGTATTTGTTTTCATAGTCTTCTGCTCCGACTGATGCTCCAGTTTCGCTCAGCACCAGCCCTGTGCTGCTCCGCCGCCCCACACAAAGAGCAGAAAATGGCTGCAAGTGCATTTTCTTAAAGGGCCAGCACCGTCAGGGCTGAGGAGCCGCCATGTTGCTCTGTGCTACTCCGCTTGTTAGGCACGTTTCTATTTATATGTGTGCTTCTGGAAATTAGAAATGGATTCATATGAAAAGGCAACGTATTGGATTTATTCTAATCTAATATTGAACTTTTTTTAATCCTGTTTTTTTTTTTTTTTCATTCAACCTTTTATTTATACAGGTTAATCCCATTGATCTTCGGGGACTCATTTACAAGAGACACCTGGTTTTAACAAAGAGTGATGACAACGATGGACAACAGCGACAACAATAGACAATTATAAGAGGCATACAAACTTAATTTTTATTTTTATTTTATTTTTTTCAAATTTAAATAAAATGGCAACCCAAAGGGGGAAAAGTAGCAAAAAAAAAAACCCCAGCTAGATTATGAGGCGGTGTAGAAAACTAAAAACAGGAACATGTCTGCATTGGTTCTTGCCAGGAACTTAACAGATGTTTAAAGCCACTTTAAAGAGGTCACGGTCAAGAGCTTCAGATCTTTTTGCAAGATATTCCACGAAACAAGAGCGGCGTAGGAGAAGGCCCTTTTGCGTAGTTCAGTTCTCACTGAGGGAACACTGCAGGTAATAATGTCCTGAGAGCGCACGCTGTAGCTGCACTCACGCAGAGACTTGTAGGAGGAGATGTATGAAGGCAGCAGACCAAGAAGTGATTTAAAGATGAAAATGTACCAGTGAGAGAGTCTGCGTGAAGTTTATGATGTCCAGTTAACCAGTGAATACAGGGTGCAGTGAGGGGTACGATAATCACAGCCAGTTATGAATCTTAGTGCACCATGATAGACAGCATCCAACATGTGCAGGGTGCTTGTAGGAGCGTTCATGTAAATGATGTCACCGTAGTCAATGGAGGGAAGGAAAGACACAGATGTACAAAGTAATTACCTTTACACTTTACATGTTAAAATTCAAGTGAGAATGGGGAAAACAAAACTGTATGCGTTAAGTGGTGTTTAATACTATCGCAAAAACATCTCATGCATTGAGTTTTCTTCTCTTCTTCTTTTGGCTTTTCCCTCTTCAGGGGTCTCCACAGAGAGTCATCCTCCTCCATCTCACTCTGTCCTCTACATCCTCTGTCCTCACTCCAACTACCTCCATGTCCTCTCTAACTGCATCCATATATCTCCTCTTTGTCTTTTTCCTGGCAGCTGCATTTCTCACATCCTTCTACTAATATACCCACTGTCCCTCCTCTGGACATGTCCAAGCCATCTCAGTCTGGCCTCTCTAACTTTATACCATACCATACCATTTTATTTATAGAGCACTTAAAACAGCGACAAGGCCAACCAAAGTGCTGTACAGACAGAACAACAGGTAACACAAAGCAATATACAAAATTAAGTAAATCAGAATATAGACATGAAAACAATGCAGATAATGACGACTAACCAGTGTGGAGCATGCAGGTTCAAAACACAGATCTCCCAGTTGTTTAACCAGTGCTACCTCTGATGATCTCATTCCTGATCTTATCCATCCTTGTCACTCCTAAGGAGAACCTCAACATCTCCTTTTCTGCCAGTTCTTTCTCCTGTCTTTTTGTCAATATTTTTATTTTTATTTCACCAGGAAAATCCCATTGAGATAAAAAAAATCTCTTTTGCAAAGGAATCCTGGTGAAGACTGGCAGCAGCACATAAGGTTACAGAACATTCACAGCAAATATAGAAAAAGTTACTAAATTAATTAATTAAAAGATTAAGTAAAAAAAAAAATTACAGACACATTATTCCGTCTCAAAATCAGTAAGAACAGCCTTAAAAACATTTAGTGAACACAGCTCAGGTTCATGTGTTTCTGCAACTGGTTACAAGAAAATGGAGCAGAAAACTGAAAAGATTTCTTTCGACGTTCAGTTCATACTTTAGGCACCGAAAGTAAAAAAAAGTTCTCGAGAGTATCCTCCGGTGGACTTCCTCTTTATAAATGCAAACAAATACGAAGGAAGAAGTCCTAGTATGGCCTTATCATTAAAAATATGCCAATGGTGGAGTCTACGAGTGGCCAAGTCCGTCCATCCAACCCGGTTGTAAAGTGCAATGATGTGTGAAACCTTTTAAATCTGTTATAAATCTTAAAACTCCATGATAAACAGTATCCAGCGAATAAAGACATTTAAGAGAAGCATGCATGTATAAAATGTCAACCATAGTTCAGGATAGACATAAAAGTAGCATCAACCAGTCACTTTCTAGCCTCAAGAGATAGACAGAATCTGATCCTGAAATAAAATCCCAATTTTAATCTTCGTTTCTTCACCAGCTATTGAATGTGGGAAGTAAAAGACCTAAATATTTCCTAAATTCCTAAATATGTATACTGTGATATTTTTGCAATTTTCACACCTTCAGCTGTAGTAATGACTGGAAGATCCTTAATTTGAAATCTCCCATTGGAAAACAGCATCACCTTTGATTTATCTGCATTTAAAACAAGCTTAAGGTGATAAAGCTATGGCTGTAAAACATTAAAAACTGACTGACTAATGAAAGGCACTCTTAGGTGAGAGACCAGAACAATATAAAACAGTATCATCAGCATAACAATGAAATGTTGCATGAGGCACATTTAAATTAAGACTATATATACTGTATATATAATAAACTAAAGCGGCCCCAGCACTGACCCCTGAGGAACAGGGGTCAGTGCTGGGGCCTCAGCTGGAGTCTCAGCTCCTTGTCGCAGTGGACCAAGGAGCTATTTATAAGACTGAGTTTTCTTGCAGGGTTTCAGACTGAAGAAGTCTTTAGGATAAAAGACAAAAGTTTCAACAAAGAAGAATCCGTCCAGATGACCTGATGTAACCTTGTTGGCTTTTTCTACTTGGATTATTGAGCATGCATCAGGACATCTACTGCAGTAACGATTTTAAGGCAGATAAAGTCATTAAAGTCATTTAAGAAACAAAACTAACAAAGTGATTTGGCATAGTGGTTGGGTACCACTGCTGTTGGAATAGTTTAAGGATCTGTTTACACTACGCCTGATATTATTTTAAATGTATTTTTTCATGAAAAAAAAAAAAAAATCTGTTCACATATTTTAACAAAAACACCAAAATACCAATACCGTGCCACAAGGTGGAGAGAACGGACACATTGGCAGAACATCAAAATAAAGAGAAGAAACAATTTTAACGTGGCTAAAAAAAATTTAATCAACTTGATATTGTTTAAAATTTCATCTTATTAATCATTTTGATGACAACTAGGTGGCAAATGTTAGACAAGTTAGCAAGTTGAATGGCAAAGAAGGTATTTATTATCATGTATGGTCCCGACCCTTCGCTCTAAGCAGACATATGGAATCTGAAAGAAAAGATTTCTTGAGGTCATATTTTTCTTTTATCTTTAGTCTTTTACACAACTAGTGATAAATATAAATCATTTAGATGTAAGTGGATTCAGTTTTGCCTTTATTCTTCCCAGAGGAACAGACAGACTTTAGACTTTAGCATTAACTTTTGGACTCAGACCGTGTCTGTTAGTGAAATATCTCATAAACAACTGAACAGATTTTAACGAAATTCTAAAACTCATTACTGGCTGTATATCTGCACTTGATTAACTTTTGTATTCAACAAAATTTACGACAAAAAAGCTAATAAGTCATTTGTATGGATATTTAGCTAAAACTTGCTGTTGGAGATGTGCATTCCTAAAAAAAACATTGTTTATTGATAACATTTTCTGGATCTACATACATTGCTGAAATAAAAAAGTACACTGAGCAAAGAAAAAAAAAAACATTTAATATTTGGCAGCAAAGTCATTTTGGTAACACAACCACCAAAACAACTAAAACATCTACATGAGAATGGGATAATATCTGTGTGAATGGGTCACGTGAGTATCTATACAATTGCTGACAGAAGCATAAAGTGCTATATAACATACATTTGTCTTTTGTCTTGTAATCACCTTCACTTCCCACACATTGAACAAACCTATTCACAAGTGATTCAATAAATAAATAAAATAAATACAACTCTTGTGAAATGTGCTCAGATGTCTGAGAGCGACTCCACTTCATGGAGGAGGACAGCAAACGATGGACGATCCTCTGGTTTCTGAGAAACAACACAAACTGAGTTGGTTATTTTTACAGCTTGTGTGTATGTCTGTTTGCAGAATTGGTTTATGATTTGTTTTTATGCTGAAAAACAGTTAAATTTCCATCTCTACCTCCTTCCAGCACCACTCCATAAGCATATAGACTGAGTCTGGGGCCAAGCGTGGCTTCAGGAGCCTCAGGCCTGAGTTCAGTGACTCCACGACCTCCAGGTTAGAGAGGTTCTCGTAGGGAGGACGACCCTCATTAAAAACTTCCCAGATGAGCACCCCTGATAATGAGAAAATGACACAAGTTCAGTTGTTACAAAACACATCATACATACTGTGGCAACACTACATGGAGTATCTGATGATAATGGTCACTTCACATCATCAGATAAGGACAAAGAGGAATGCATCCATCCTTAACTTTTACCCGCTTCTTCCTTTTTGGGTCATAGGGGTCACTGGTCTCCAGTCCACCACAGGGACACAAACGAGACAACCATTCACTCTCTCACTCACACCTAGAGACAATTTAGAGTTACCAATCAGCCTAACATGCATGATTTTGGTCTGTGGAAGGTTATCGGAGTACCCAGAGAAAGCCCACACATGCACGGAGAGGATATGCAAACTCCACCCAGAAAGGCCCTCCGGCCGGGATTTGATCCATCGTCCTCGCTGAGTTGTGCCACCGTGCTGCCCCAAAGAGCATCACCTTTAATTTGATTTGACATTTGTTGTTGTTCTTTATTAGCCTAATCAACAATTGTAATAATTACCATTCAAGATGAGAGATGAACGACTTCGAGCAAAACATGTTTTTAGGCTCGTGTGTTTATTCAATTAGCAGCACAGCACTGAGACCATATATTCTTCAAGTGTCCAGGAACTTTAAACTTAGATTACATGAATTTTAAGTTTTGGATTATTTGTCAGTAGTACATCTTTATTTGAAAAAAAAAAAAAAAAGTTTCAAATTGTTCTAATAAAAGTAAACAAACAAATTCCCCTGATTAAAAAGAAACTATGTATATAACTATAAGTTTTGTGAATATATGTAGAGCTTACTTTGGCGTTGCATGTTCAAATATTCATTTTTCTGGTAGTTCTTAGTTATTTGATGTCTAAAATAATAATAATAATTATTATTATTTTTAAGAAAAACATCAGCCAGACTGATGAGCTAATGGCTAGTTCATGTGTGAGGACAACACCGAAGTGGGTTTCTGTTATATAAAATACACCAGTTATAATAATTTGCTGTCATTTTGTTCAGAATCAAGCTCTGTTTCTCCAAACTGAGGTTGTTCACAGAGTTATCTACAACAGGTAAGATATTAAATGTTTAAATGTTGTTCACAAATATCAACTCTAAATGTGTTTTTTTGTACGTTTGTAGCTCCTAAATAAGGTATTTTATGTGTATATGGTAAATGGACTGTACTTATATAGCACTTTTCTATCTGAGCAAGAGTCAAGACATGCAAAGCTCTTTACAACACAATCTGTGCCTCATTTACCCATTCATACAGCTCTCTACTAGATCTGAACAAAGACTGATCAGTGATTTATCACATTCAAACACCGATGGGACACATATTGAGGCAATGAGGGGTTCAGTGTCTTGCCCATGCCCAAGGACACTTCAACATGTGACTGCTGGTGGAATCAAACCCCCAACTCTCGTATTGGAGGGTGACAGCTCTAACCACTCAGCCACAGCTGCACCATGTGCACGTTTTCAGTTATGGTGGATGTGACATGATTGTCATCATCAGGTGTTTGGACCTGCCCGTCTGCAGCAGACTGACTATCTGTCAACTAACAATAACCGTACCAAAGTTCATGCTCCAGGTATAAATACAACATTCAGTCGTGGACGGTTTCTTTTGTTGCTGAGATGATTCGTCCTTCCTCCGAAGGACTTCTTCAGTCTGAGGAGCCACCAAACCAAACTGAATCCCACAAGCAGCTCACTCCCAGAGTGGAAAAAACCAGTTTGCTGGTGATAAGATGGTCTCTGGGGCCCACCCTCTCCCCCGTCAACTCCTCTAAGACAGTCATGCCAAAGTGGTTCGTGCTTAATAATCCAGGACGAAATGCTCAATAAGGATGAAACGTCTCAGCAACAAAAGAAACCGTTCAGATGACCTCACTGAACATTGTAGCGATAACCGTAGTTTCTTCTACACTCAGAATCTAGCATGCGTCCACATAGTTATAAATTGTGTTACAGGCTGTTTTTACTGTCCTTATCAGCTGTTTCCTTCCTAAAACAACTGTTATAATCTCCTTCGAAGTTTTGATGTTATCATCATCTCTCAAAAGTCAAGAACTGTGCCCTGATTTTTAATTTACAGTATAATTGATAAACGCACAACTTTTACTTGGGTCTTTTAGATGATTTCCAGCTTCGTTTCATTGAACTCTACCCAGTGCTTTATGAGATGTTTTGCTAACAGACCAACAAACACAGGTTTAGAAAAAAATAAACCCACCAAATGACCAGACGTCAGACTTGCTGCTGAACTTGGAGTATCTGATGACCTCTGGAGCTGACCACTTGACAGCAAACTTGGAGCACTGGGAGCTTGTGTACTGATCGTCAAAGACAAACCTGCAGCCGACACAATATTATCCAACAACAGTCCAGCTGCAGACATTTAGAAGACTGGATGAGAACATACCGGGTCATCCCAAAATCAGACACCTTCACCTCATTGTTCTTTGAGACGAGGCAGTTCCTGGCAGCCTATTGGGACAAAGGATCAATAACCTCCAGTGTACTGAACGTAGTAAACAAATGCACAAAAGTTGCTTCTGTTGGTTTACCAGATCTCTGTGGATGAAGTTGGAGCTCTCTAAGTACGCCATGCCTTCACTGACGTCCAAACACATTCCCAGCATCACGTTCTGAGACAGGCGGCCTTTCCTTTCTCGCAGGTAGTCCGACAGACAGCCGTTCTCCATGAACTCGCACACCAGGCACATGGGAGGGCGCTTGGTGCACATGCCGAACAGCTGCACAAGCTTGCAGTGGGACAGTTTCCTGTTGAAACACACACGATTCTTCAGACAACTGGTTTCCAAAGGGTTGTGTCAGGAATTTGTCTCGTACTTACATCATGATTTTCGCCTCCTCTTTGAAGTCCTCATCTGACATGCAGTCTTCTCGAACCATCTTCACTGCCACCTTCTGATCCCTCCACGCCGCCTCCAGCACAAGCCCGAACTGGCCGCTGCCAACCTCTTGACCCAAAGTCAGCTCCTCGGGGTCTATCTCCCACTGAGCTGCTGGGATCAGCAAACAAAAGATGAAAACGACTCTAAAAATATTAAAATAACTCATAATATGAACGTTTATTCAGTGGAATCACTCTAAAACATCACAACTTTGGGCTTCCTGTGTAATTATGGCACTGAATTACCAGTGGGTCACAATGCCATCCTGTAAAATCCCACAAGAGGTCAGCATAAACATGATGGTTTTAATTTTATTATGTTATCGGTGATCGTTTGGAGCTCTGGTTCTGCTCATCATGTCACCTTTGGAGGGATCAGCAACTTCTGGGGAACTTGGTCTTCTTTGAGAGACAGGATGTCTCAGTCGCGTTATCAGACCTGTCAGGCAACAAACACAAATACAATCAGAAATACATAAAAGTGTTATGAAACAAACACATTCTGCTTCCCTGAGTCACATGTTTTGTTATCTAAGCTTCCTTATTTAAGTTAAATGTATGCTTACCGGCTGCATTGTGTTGGTGGTAATGGATTAGCTCGGGAATGGTGCTGAACAGGTACTTCTCTGCCAGATAAAACGCCCTCTGTTCTGTTGCTGACTGTTGTATCTGGTAATGTTTCACTCTGGGATTCTTCTCCCCACTGGATCTAAAGAAGACAGGTGCTTTTAAGAAACACTCCTTTATAGAAACAGTTGCAAAACAGTGCAAAGATCCTGAAAATGGACTGTTGTACGAAATATATATGTATTTAATTAGCAAAACCATTGATGTTTAAGGAAGTCCTGCCATACAGTAGAGTTGCAGTCGGGCCTAACAAATCCAACTCAGCTCAGCCCGAGCCCGTAGGTTTTTTTTCCGAACCCGACTTGAACCGACCACTTAACTGTTACAGGTCTGAACCCAAAAAAACCCAGACATTCTTTTATAATTCAGCTTTTTCTGCGTTTGTAAGCAAATCAGTTTGACATGATATGTTAAAAATGTATTTCAAAGAAAGGAAGATAAAAGATTTCTTGTTTCACCAAATGGATATTAACATACAAAATTAATAGCCTAAAAAAAAAAATCAGCTCTAAAGACAGGCTTTTATACAGATGAACAAACATATTTTTAGAGCAAAAGTATTTGGAAAAATACAAAACAAGGCTACTTTAACTGAACGCGCTGCTCGCTTCAGCTTTTGTAGATGCTGCTACTTTCTTCACCGCAGATGACAGCAGGTGCGGCGACGCACGTGGCCGGTGATCAGCTGATCCATCTGAAGCTTAACTGGACATTTTTTTTTACCTCTTTCAACCGGCCAGTCGGACCTGTCTCCTCCTCAACAAGTAGATTAACACAATTTTATATCATGCATTCTTATTTACTTTTCTTTGTACCGTATGGCTAGACATGGGCACCAGTGACCCCTGCAACCCAAAAAGTAGAAAGCGGGCAAAGATAATGGATGGATGAATGAATTGATGAATGGATGGATGGATGGATGGATGGATGGATGGATGGATGGATGGATG